TGAAATGTAACTGATTACAAATGTTTGATCTTTCATTATAGTTTCTTCAAATGAAATGACTATCGATATTATCAAATTAAAATGGTATCAACGTATTTACAAACGTACTGGAGTTTGGAAACATTTGACAAGTCCTCTGTACATCTTAACAGTATTATATTTAGCAATATTATTTACACCAGCTACGTTTTTGTCTGCTACGTGGTATCCTCGGGTCTACCATATTACAAATCATGATGAATCATTAAGTAAGTTATGATGGAAATTCTCTATTTTATGTATTGTTTTCATTCTAGCGGAGAAATATACAATTATTTTCAATATATCGGCAGCTGCATCTATCATCATCTGTCCGATCCATGGATTTCTTCTTGATTTCCAAGCTGATCGAAGTTAGTGACGAAAAACTAAAAACAAAAGTCGTATCTAAAAACTGAATACCTTTGATATATTTAGGTAAAGCACGTCAGTGGCTCAATATCTCAATATCACAGACAATAACATGGTTAGTGAGTATTATATCCTGTATTTTATGTATGTTTGTGACAACAAATATTATAATTGTTGCTCTCATTTTCAATGGTATTGCTCATGCAACAATCGAGGCTGGCAATATTGCAATTATAGCAAGCTGGTAAGCATTACTACACTATGGATATTTTCTATGAATTAAAAATCAGTATTCATGTTAATAAAGTCTGAATACATGTAGAGAGGGTATAATCACGTTAGTAATAATAAAAATGATTTGATCAAATTATTTACGATCGTTTGAGATTTTACACTCGACAAGGTGTTTGCAGCACTCATCAATTGAAAACTCTTTCTCTCTATGAAAACGATCTGTTTTAGTTTTCCTTCGGAATATCTTGGCACGCTAACTGGTGTCATGTGGACGGTAGCTGGTCTCATTACTTTGATTCAATATGCACTCAATGAATTAACATACGATATACCTATGTCTTGGAGGGTAAGCGTGCAATGCACCGAATTATCTATTTATGATCAAATTAATGCGATATATTCTATTCAGGCTTGGCTCATTTTGGCTGTGTTGATTACATTGATGTTATGTCATGTGGTACAAGTATGGCGGAGATATGCCAACGAACTCAAACATCAAATGTCTAGTTCACAAAAGCGAAGCGAAAAAGTGCACAATGACGATGTCATTATTTCAAGACTGTGAAATGTTTTTGCTATTTTCATCTAATTATAAAAAATTTCTGTAGTATAGATGACTGAAAAGATTAACTGTAAATAACGCTTGTCGAAGAGCAAGTCGTTTGATCTTATCAATCGTTTTTGTTCTTTTTATGAAAGAGTGAATTTATTTTATAAGAATTCAATATATTAAAAAGGATAATTAGATTTTAAATCGTTGAGTTCTAGACCATTTTCACATTGTTCTTGATGTTTTTCATCTAANACTACTCATACCGTCATAGAATTGTTTCATAGTTAATTACATATAATACTGACAATTTGAAGATTAAGTATTCGTTCAAAAAGTACTGTTGTCTCTAACGTCACTATTTTCTATGTGACAGAATCGCGCTTCTCATTAATGGCACGATCAAACATATAGTAAATTCAATGATATTTTTCAAATTCACGATTGGAAAAAACAAATCCTTCTACTATTCATGTAAGAGTTTTGAATACATTTGGTGTCAATCACATCGTTTTATTTTCTTCTTGCTCTGCTTGTTATTGTCGGCCATGATTGTTTACTCAATTGAAGCGAATAGATTTGGACTAGGAAGAATTTTTTAGACAATACATCGTCTTGTCGTACTAGCGTCACACAGAACTCGACGAGCTTTATCGACTTCACTCGATGAATGTGTGACAGAGAACAGGTATTACTTTAATGAGTGATGGAACTAAAAGAATAATAAAGTCATGTGGTCATTTTTCTATATATGTGAAATAAAGAAGCCGACTTGTACGTATTGTGATGATGTAGGTCATCTAGTATACACCAAATATTGTTCTGTGACATGGTTTTTCATAACGAATTATTCAAATTAAATACAAATACAAAAATAAATTGAATTTTTTGTTAATATAAAACACGAAGCATGTTTTTTTCGATATAATGACATTCGAATATATTTCTCTTTCTTTCTCTTTATTCAAGATGGAACAGCATCGCATTCGAACAGGAAAAGTCCGTGTTGAAAAAGTTTCACGTCGTGATCGATCAACTCATCGTAAAGTGCGTTTGTATTCTAGACGTTGACTTTTCCCTTAAAGATGACCATTTATAGTGTTCGACATCACTGACACGAATAACTTCTGTCAAACATATTTCCATTCGGTCAGCTAACAGTGTTCGTTCGTCTTCACGAAATAGAAAAATAATCAAAGATCATCATTATCAAGTATTGATATTTACGAATAATATTTTAACAATTAGCAATTTCGATAGAATAATTCATCTGATCATATTTTCGACAAATCAGAACAATCATCAGTAGGATCAACGAACACTGTGAATTCTGTTCGCGTGACAAAAGTTCAACGTGTGCCATCTGTGGTAAAGGGAACAATTGAAAAAAAGATATTTTTCACACTTCTTCAATTAGTTTCGACCAAATCCAGTTTCAAGTACAAACAGCTCATTTGAAATACTTGCAAAAAGTGAAATCAATCTTAGTCAAGTATATAAAAGCAAAAGATTGAGTATAAGCAAAAAGTTTAGAAATTAATTTTAGAACGAGATTAGCGGCGAACCAACGAAAAGTATCAAAAAACGAGTAAAGCGTCATAACTATAGCTTTTGTCCGTTGATTGTCAGATGATTTTTATGATCTAGTCATTGGGGACAATAGAAAACCTGATGACCTCGCTACACCAATATCGTCATCCATCAAAACAGAAAAGTCTCAAGTAAAAACTAGACGATGAAAATGTTTCATTGACTTATTCTCTTTGATTTTATGAAAACAGAACTTTCATGAAACTATGTTGTCGATGTACACGAAAACGTGCATTATTATTTTTGATATGTGCCATACTTTTTGGTGTTCTTCTCAGCATACTTCTTATTATTCTCTTACGAAAATCCAAATCAACATCAAATCAAACTTGTAAATAAAGAAATCTTTCATTTCAATAATTAAATTCATATTCTATTAGATCGTGAAGTTTATCTTCGATGGAATACAACTGGTATTACAATATATGGCACAACAGGTCTTAGAGGAAACACATCGACACAATTGTCCAGTTCTTTTGGTTTAGTATTTGATTCCGATGATAATCTTTATATCGGTGATCGTTATAATCATCGTGTTCAAAAATGTTCAATTAGAAATACATCGTGTATAACCATAGCTGGTCAAGCAAATGCTGTTTCAGGAACGAATATGAGTGATCTGAATGGACCAACTTATCTTTTTATGGATGCAAATAACAACCTATACATAGCAGATTCAGGAAATCAACGAATTCAATTTTGGACTTATGGAGCAAATTATGGCAAAACGATTGCTGGAGTAACAGGTTTTTAATATCTTTTTTATTTCAACGGACTCTTCATGTATATTTACTCTTCATAGGCTCAGCAGGTTCTGGCTTAAATTATTTTAATATTCCATATGATGTGGCACTGGATTCAAGATCGAATGCTGTCTATGTTTCAGATCATAATAATCATCGTGTTATGAAATATGTCTTCGGAAATTTAACCGGGAGTATTGTTGCTGGCGGAAATGGTTTTGGAACAAACAATACACAACTATATCGACCTGCTGGTCTCGTTTTCGATTCATCAACAAATGCTCTTATTGTTGTGAATTTCGGTGCCACTAATATTGTTCAATGGAAATTAGGTGATTCCAAGTGGACAATTGTTGCTGGTGATTCGAATGGATTGAATGGAAATACATCGACATTACTTGATCATCCAACAGGTGTGACCTATGATCCAATAGGTAATATGTATGTGGCAGATATGTTCAATCATAGGATACAAATGTATTCCATTGATCAATCAAATGCAACAACTATTGTTGGAGTTTCAGGGCAACTTGGTACGAATTCAGCTATGCTTAATTATCCTGTATCGGTTGCATTTGATCATCAACTTAATCTATATGTTGCTGATTCATTAAATCATCGAATACAGAAGTTTTTACGTTATTAGATATAGAAAAGATGCTTTTCTATGAACTTCGATCAAACAAATATTTGTTTGAATTGATTTCGATGAACACACTTATCAACAATTAGCATTTGACGCTGAGAAATCTCATGAGATCTTCACGTGGTTTTTAACAGTCTGTTCTAGAGAAGCGTTCTTTTTTTAAAATACATCATTTCCACGCTTCGTAATCGTTTTATATATTTAAATAAATGCTGGAACTTCGGATTTTATCTGAGAGTTATGAGTACTGCGAAAAGTAATTATCAACAGGATCATGTGCTATACGCTTTTCCTATTAGTTTTCCTGTCGCGTATGTACAGTATTCTGATTCTCTTCTGACTCAATGTCGTACTTTTTACACTGTTTTCTATGTATAATTTGCCGTGCGTTTGATTGCTGGCTATATCGAGTATAAAGACTGACTTTCTTTAGCCCTTTCGCAAATAAAATCAATTCTTCTTAAAAAATCAATATTATTTTTTTGATTCTTTGAGAATATTTCGAATGATTTGAACGTCTTTCTCTTAGATTTCAAGCGAAGAATTTTTCTTGGCATCTTCATCGATCAGTTGTGGAGCAATTCCTGTCAATGCGAACGAATTACACGTAGAAAATATCCTTCCATTTAATCGTATAACTTTTCATTTCTATTCGACAGAAAGAATTACATAAGTTGAATATGAATAGAAAACACTCATTTATTCGAGTACAAAAAATTCGTCGATCTTCACTAAATAGTGCACGAAGACGCGAACACTCAATTGATGAAGATCTTTCAAGACATTCATCATTACAAATGAAAAGAAAAACTAATTGTGATTGTTCGAATGATTTGAGTAAGAAATGTGAATTATATTTTCCCACACAACAAGTAACTAAAAAGGAAGAACGAGGTAAACCTATAAACTTATTCTGAAACTTCCAGTTCCAAGATATGCATTCATCGGCAAAATCAATTCATCCGTCGTTGCTGCTATCTACTCACAGCTATATTGATTTGCCTCCGTCTTGTATCAATGATCGTATAGCCATAACTATAATGGGTAATCAAGTTTTCTTCTTCTGCTTCCTTTTAAGGAATAAAGCTGCAAATCCAAGCAACGACAAGTATGTCATGGTTCACAACAGGGAAAATTTTTGAAAAAAATTCAATCGCAGATACAACATCAACAACTAAAAGTACGGATTTCGGACGATACTGAACAGTCGAAACCCGATCTTGCTTTACTCGTCACCTCCATTCGACCACTCTCTTAGTTTGATCATATTTCCAGTGTGTACAAGTAGTACTTCTTCAATTTCAGCAGCAACGTCGACTTCGACAATTCGTTCAACAACAAGTGAATGGGATAGATGTCTTGTCCTTTACAACATTGATCTGAGAATTTTCTGTTTCTTTCAGCGACGACAACAACAGCATAGATCGGAAATTTTCAAATTCTATGGAATACTTTAGGTGATTTTCTTTAATAGAATCAAACAGAAACAGTTGTTGCTGTCACATCAATAGTCGGCGCATTTTCACAGCAACTAAATAAGCCATAATGCTTATACATCGATGGTAACGATATTCTATACGTTTTTGACTATATGAATAATGGAATTCAAAAATGGATTTAGAATGCAACTTAAGGTACAACAATTGCAGGAAGTAGCACTAGTGTGCCTGGTTTAACATTTGATCCAAATGGTAATTTATATGTGACTGATTCTGCAAATTATCGCATACAATGTTTTCCACCAAATTCACTTAATAGGACTACTGTTGCTGGACAGGTTCTTTAACGATAAGATCAATTTAAATTATGTCTTTCATTTCATCTTTGTACCATCTTCATCCGATCAAGTTTATACGTGATTATGATGCAGGTAAAATCCATAACGGACGATGAATTTCTTCGAACAGTTAATTCCACTGCATTAACTCTTGGTAGTCCAACTGGTTCAGCTTATGACCCTTATGAAAACTTATATGTTGCTGATCCAGCAAATGATCGAGCAGGTAAGTATTGTGCAAACTCGACTGATGGTATTGTCATTGCTGCGTATTCTAATGGTGTGTTTACAGTTAATGGAGCAAGTAGTGTTGCATTTGATTCAAATAATAGTTTGTATATTTCAAATACGTATGCTCATAATGTTGCCAAATTTTCTCTCTTATAATTTCATTTGAATAAAACATTAAGATGTCATTACAGCGTTTGTACTGACCTTATACATAATCCCCTATTGGTTCTTATTCATCAACTATTCATTCAGTAACACTTTTTCGTTCGAGACAATTTGTATTTTTCCAATAAATAACTCCCATATTTCATGTTTTTCGTATAAGTGCACACAAGTGAAATCTGTAAGTGTTCATATGTGTATTGAGCTTCCAGTATGTTCTCTAACGACCACCATGAGACCGGTTATGAAACAATACTTTCATACAAGTTTTTCTTACATTGTAGTAACTATTTCAAATGCATTGCATATACCTGAATTACACCCACAAGATTCTATCGAATTTTAAGAACCATCTCATTTGTTTGAGTTTTATGCGCGTCTAGCTCGCACACTTATTTCAATCCACAGAGAGATTGTCAGGTAAATTCAGTGGATTCAGACATCTATTTATAAAAAAATCACGATGAACTCAGTAGGATTGCAACAGAACTGTCTCACCTGAGATGATTTTCTTACCAGTATAATTGTTAAAAAAACGTTTTATTATTATCATAATACCGATAGATTTATTGTTACTAAGTGAAGAAGTTCGATACTATATTTAATATATCGATGTTTTTTCTTGCATGAATAAAAAATATTGTACCATGCCGTTTTATGAACTATCCAATGAAATAATCATTACTAGACGATAGCATTCGACATCTGACAATTCATCGTATTCCATTTTCCATTTTATTCAATGCATATTTTTCTCATCTGTTCATCTTAGAATAAACAAAAAACAAAAGAAAAAAGACATCCGTCTGCGAAGATAATCGACTATAGGCGAAGATAATATACATTCATTCAGAAGAAAGGATCAATCTTTTGCCTCCAATTAGAATGTTTATAAATAAAGCATTGACACATAGGTGTATATATATACATATCGTGCAATTATCTGCAATACAATCATATTTAGATATGGACGAGCACGGTGTTAATCTTCTTGACCTTCCTACTGAAATATTATTTATCATTTTGAAAAAACTTGACAATCTTGAAGTTCTTTACTCTTTACTGGGTGTAAATAGCCAACGACTTGATATTGTGGTACGAGACCAAATCTTCACGAGTACGCTCAATTTTTTTTCTATATCGCAATCAACCAATGAAATTTCATTATCTTCCGACTTGATACTCGATCGGTTCTCTAAGTCAATATTACCGAAAATTCATAGAAATATCAAATCTCTCATAGTTGAGTTCGGTTCTATGGAATATATTATTCGTACTGCTCATTATCCTAATCTTCAACATCTTGAAATTTTCAATTTCAAAGAAGCAATTCTGTCACGTCATTTTGTAGGTAAGTCTGTCGTCTTGTTCAAACATTGACATAAGAGAACTGAGCAATTTAGATTTAATGACATGTACATTTTTCGTTTAGACCATGCTCTGTTCCAGCATAGTTTCACACAACAAATAACATGTCTCATTCTTAACGTGAATGAAGATGTCGAAACAATAGATCGAGTGTATACCAAAGATGTTTATGCAATTGTCCTAAGTGTCTTTAAAAACTTAAAATCATTAACGATTGTCGCACAGTCATCTGTTGAAAATTGCCCATGTTTGTCGTTGTATGATTTACCGCTACATACATTTTCTTCTTCAACACTTACTAAATTATCGGTCAATGTACATGATTTATATGATGTCTGTGCTCTACTAGATGGTCGGCTCAAACAATTAACTACGCTCACCGTTCAAATTGAAGCTATCGACGATTCGATGAGAATACCTTACAATAGCGTAAGTCTATATTTCACGTTATTTATATTTTCTGATTAGAGCTTAACATCGAGGATGAGATAAAGCTTGTTAGAAGCGCAAGAAACGATTGATTTCACCATTACCCATTGTGTTTCGATTTTGATTATTAGAAAAGATCTCGCAATGATTTGTTCTGATGTTTCGACGTTATTTCAAAATCATTATTAATTATAGCTCCTGTCAAAGCTATTATTTAGCTTTGTACTCATTGAATGATCGCGTAGAATATATTGCCTTCTATATATTTACTTAATGTGATGTGGAGCACCTCCATTATTCCAACGTAAATGAAATATAACCGTTAGAATCCATTAGTGTTGGAATGAATATATTTAAAAGAATTGTTCAGTTCAATGATAATTTCCTGATTTCTATAACAGGAATCTAACTTAAGACGTTGAAATTCGCTAGAAAATTTTCTTTTCTTATATATTTACAATTTTGAATAGTTATTCGCCAAATTCTATAAGTGAGAATTTAGTCTGTAGCGTGGAATCACCTTTTTCGACGTAGTTAATAGAAAAAGAGTACTGAATAGAATATTTGCATATAAAACATGACGAAACAATCGTTTTAAAGTAACTGATACTGATATGTCAATGATTTATGGAAATTTCGTCACTGAAATACAAAAGATGACTTTTTAATTATTCATATTCTTTTTTTAGAATGATCTTCCCAATTTCAAATGTTTTTCATTAACGTGTTATAAGTGTTTCAAAGGATTTAATAATCCAATTGTACCTCTACTTCAATGTATGAAATATCTGGAAGATTTATCTTTGTATCTTCATATTTATGGTGGATCGACATTCATCAGTGGCACTTGTCTTGATAATGAGATACTTGTTTATCTGCCACAACTTCATAGTTTTACATTTTATATAGCTTCTAACAATGCCATTACTAATTCAGCTACTCGTGTACTTCATTCGGATATTGAACAGACTTTCAAAAACCTGAGACACTGGCAAGTGGCTTTTATGGTAGATTATTTCGAACCTTACAAAATGATATGTCGCGTGTTTTCACTTCCGTTTAAATTTCATCTTCTCGAACATATCGGAAATAATATTCCAAACATTATATTTAATTCTGTTACTCATTTAAAATTGTGGGACAAAGATCCATTCAGATATGAATTTTTCTGTCGACTTACTCGAGCTTTTCCATTTCTCAAAAATTTATCTATTTGTAATATTAAACCATCATTTTTGGGCCAACGTTACCATCTTCGGGATAAAGACTGGTGCTCAATCGTGGAGTATCCGCATCTAATCTCACTTGATATCGAACGTGCAAATATTTCTTATGTCGAACAATTTCTCAATGAAACAAAGACACATTTACCGAACTTGATTGAATTAAAAGCTACTTATATGAGTTTGGAAGATGTGACAAAGAACTTTACACAAGATCAAACGCGACGTAATTGTGCTGGAGTGAAACGATTATTTGTTGATATGCCAATGGTATATAAAGACTGTGTGTATCGTTATTTTCCATCTTTGCGAGTTTAATCTTGTAAAAATACTATCTGAATAAAAATCTCCGGTGTAGTTTGCAATTCTTCTTTCAAGATCAGGTACGATATAGAAAATGTCAGTTATTTATGGAGATAAAATCTTGTATTCAAAAGTGAGTTGTCGTTCAACAAACAGAATTCTGTATTGTTCCGATAAGACAACTGTTTTTATATTTTCTTCTATTGAATATAAGGCAGTAGGAATATATTGATTCCAATCTATATCAATTTCATCAACTTCAAGCCTAGAATTGGAACTGGAGTCGACGCATGTCTATTAAAACTACGTGTGATTAGCGTGAATAAATTTCGGCAGCTCGCTCGGCCGCACTATCTCTGGGATCTGAAAATCGACAAAAAGGAGTACCTTTAATCAAAGCACCCTCACGCGTCTGTATGTGGTACTGCGTGCGTGAATTACACCGGTTAGCGTAAAGTGTGGTTAAACAGACTAGAAGTAAAGAAGAATGAAAGAAGTCGTGAAGACTGGATCATACAAATGAAAATAAATTATACAAAGTGATACGTGCTTTTTACATTTCAGAAAAGGTTCATCGATAGTTATTTCTAGCTGTTGGTACAAGTATATATATATATATACTTCTAAGCTAAAGTTATATGCGAATCTTGTTGTTTTCCTGTAGTTCTTCCTATAATGGTTAGTTTCTATCGACTATACAAGTAGAAATTTGTGTCATACTTCAGATAACCATTGTATACTTCCATGCGAGCGAAAAACTTATACCGATTGGAAAGTACAAGGAAGTCGAAGTCTCAATATAGATAGAACCGATCTTTATGAAATAGATCTTGACTGTATTCATCGAGTCTACCATACATCAGAGCAATCGTAATTGACGTATTTATCCATTGTATCTTATAACGTTTTTAATAAAAAATCCTTTTTGCTTGGCAAAGAATATGATTATAAAGAGGTATCTTGTTGATTTATATAGATCAAAAGGACATCACTTTAACTGAGCACTATTATGATTATTTTCATATGAAATACATGTTGTTTATTCATCATATATTTATATTATTTGTTAATCCGTTTACCTAGATCGTCGTTTACTGATTCAAATGCTTGTTATTATTTTACAGATTTAACTGACAAGTTCTGTTCATTTTTTATTTCATATCTCTATTGTCATTGAATGGATCATTTTGACCGATTAATTTAATTATTTAATCAAATTTATTCAAAATTTGCTAATTAAAAACAATTTTTCTCAATATTAAAATTTTCTATTTACCTATTCTCTTCAGATTTATAGTGAACTGAATGAATAATTATTTGATGTTCATCTCTTTTCAATTTGCACAATTTCATATTGGTAAAATCAATGTTCTATTTTGAATTCGAATGACATCAAGACATCGCTATGTGATAAAGATAGCGCCTGTAGACCTAGGTATATGCGGCAGTCAACAATAAGCTGCAAATAACTAGTCTATCACAAGTTAGATTTGTCTACTTTTCAGAAGCCTATCTACACCGTTAACTTATAGCAATAAAAAGATCTCTTTGTATAAAACGCCAGTAACTTTGACTATTTATAGTAAACTTTAGTTGTAGATTTCAAAACAGAAACATATCGGTTCAGTTTGAAAAAAAACCATGAATCAATTCGGCCATATTATGCAAAAAGAAATAGATTTACTCTAGACAAAAAAAATATTATTTCCTTTCGTTTTTGTTGGCATTCATCTTTGTCATAACATAAATAAGTATAAAATGAAAGAGAAAACGGTTATTATACAGTTTATTTTTACTGATCATAAACCTATTAAATGTAGCTTGAGACTATTGATTATTTCGACGCTTGTACTTCAAACACTGATTCATTGTTTTTCAAATGTTAGATGTAGTCTGATAGATAAAGAAAAGAAATGATAAAAAAAGGCAACAACTAATCGATCAGTTAATCTTCGTATTTAATTCGCATGTTGTTTTGGTACAAATGCGGCGCTTTCCCAAATACCATCAACAAAATTAGCGTTACTTGCATCATCGAATACACCATCATTGCTTACTCTTCCAGTATGTCGCTATTTCATCTAGAAGATTTCTCTTCATCAACGGTATTTTTTACAGCATCAAAAGTAAATAAACTTGGTCAAGTAGATGCTGAATTACGTAGCTAGATCATCTTTTTAAAACAAACTAAATCTGTCAATGATTTATTTGATGACTCAAAGATATTCATGTGAACGATGTTTGACTTTTATTGAGTTATAACTTAACTAAGACATTATCTGTTAAACTACGTAATGAACTTAATTTAGTTTTAAGATAATCTAGTAGATAAATAGAAATATAGAAACCCTGGATTTATATTCGAATGCTGTGTTTATTTCACACGAAAGGAACAGGTAACTGGTCGTCTCTATGATATTCGCTTGACTCAATCCAGAAAATGGAATATTGCTAAATTTAAGTCGAGCATTTCTCAACTGTTCACACTTTCCCTTTCCTCATATATGTTGTGTCTACTTCACCTCTTCGTGTCGGCTACCCAAAGACAACAAAAAAAAATTGTTCCTATATATTTTTCATCATTTAGATTCAAAGTTTACTAACTTTCACGGTGGAGTCTAAGGAACTGATCCTGACCTAAATACCGTCGTGCTGCTATTTGGCAACATCAGTATATTAGGAAATAAATATAAAAATGAAACATTTCATGTAAAAACTACGTTTATTAAGAAAAAGTTTTCATAAAACTGTTCGACAAAATGTCTTTTGCTTTGTGTTCTATGTATCGGCAGTTGACATTTCGAGATCTAAAATTAAAAGAATTAAAAAGACTAGTTTTCTATTTTAGTTACCAAACTGCCGATCGATTTCGATCAGCGTTTCAAACGCTAAACTGATATGCACTTGCACTTCGAGTGTTGAAATTTCTTCTTCGATATCTCGAATCTTCAACTTTTTCGCATTCTCATTTCCATCAAATCGACATTCACTTAGATTCGCAACCACCATTTCTTAAATTCGCTCGATTAACACCAGGTTGAGAGCCAAATACAGATGCATCCGATGAATAACCACCAGGTTGAGGGACAAAAACAACTGGAATCGATGGATATGCATCATGGGTAGAGTCAATATCCGATGAATGCGAACCTGATACAACACGATTTCGATCCGAAGCCATTTGAAGCTGTTTTTTTTTTGTTTTCTAATTGTTTCATTTGACAGTAATCCTTCATCAATCGCTTGATAGTATTACACATCTAAAAAAAGTCTGAAGGTGATTGAGTATATTTGTTTTTTTTATACCTGTGTTCGATAATCTTCATATGAGCTTAACGACATGACATAATGTAGAAGCAAAAGAAATAATCAGTCGTTTGTATACAAACAAAAACCATGTGAATGAATGTCGGACGATACATTTTATGTTCACATCTCTCCTACTGTTTTCGTTTATATCTCTTTCTTTTCGTTCTTAGAAAACAAACTCGATATACGAATATATACATATTCTTTCTTTTCTTATCGTTTCTGTCTAGGCCTTGCCTTTTCTTTTTTTCTGTTGAAATCGAGAAAAAGGTGTTGTTATATAGGTATATACTAGTAGGGTCATAGCAGTTGCTAATATCTGGCCTGCGATTCGACCTATTTTTCCTCTAAATCCTATGTTTTTGCAAAAACCTATATTTTGTCCTGTATTTCCACTGCTTTTCCTATTTTACCTATATCTTATTAAAAAATAGCGAAAT